CCCGGCCCCTTGGCCCCGCGCCCCCCGCCGCAACGAAGACGCAAGGGCATAAAGCCGCTCGCAGAAGCCGAGGGGTGGAAAAGCCGGGGCCGAGCTGCAGGCTGGGAATAACCGAGCCTCGTGTTCCCACGCGCAACAAGTGGTGCCCGTTGCAGCGCTTGCTCCGCTTCCCCGCCGGCTTGGCGAGGCCCTTCAAGGCGGCAGTGCCAGCGGTGCCGGCCCCCCCGCGCGGGGCGGTGGTGATGGGGGGAAGCCTCCGTGTCTCCTTTAAATTAAAAGCGATTTCTCCCCCGTGTCTGCCCTCCCCCGCGCCCCGCACACCCCGGCCCGCATTGCTCACAAAAGCAGGTCGCCACTCCCGACGTGGAGAAGAAGATCGAGGAGTACAAGCGGGAGAACCCGGGCATGTTCAGCTGGGAGATCCGAGACCGGCTCCTGAAGGACGGGCACTGCGACAGGAGCACGGTCCCCTCAGGTGAGAAGGCAGCTTGGCCAGCAGCCCTGGTCCCGGGAGCCCACGCGGGGCTGGGGGCTGCAAACTCGCCCCCCACTCAAGTTACAGACCTAAGCCGGCTGCAAACTCGCTTTAAAGGGGTGGACTAAGCCAGTGTGGACAAGAGGAGCCCGGGAGCAGGACTAAGACCCCCCGTACACACACACACACACTCCCCCAAAGTGGAAGAGAGGGCTAAGACGCCCCCCTTCCCTGCACACACTCCCCCAACCGCAGCAGGGGGGTGCAACCGGTCCCTGTGGGCAGGATCCGGGTTGCACAAGGGGTGTTTGGCCCCGCTGCTGGGGGACGAGGGTGGGTAGGCAGGGATCCCTCCCATGAGCTGGGGGGCTCCGCATGGCTGTCCCCGGGCAGGTCTCCCTTCCCGGGACCCGAGTGCGAGCCCTGCTTGCTCTGGGCTCGGGGCTCGGCTTCGCAGGCGAGTGTGAGCTGGAGTCTGCGTGTGGGAAAGGAGGCGAGAAAGGTGCCGGGGATGGGAGTGGGGCAGGGTCTACACGTGTCCACCCCCATCCACCCTACGCTGTCATGTGAACATATCCATGTATCGTGTCCTGTGGCTGTACAGTGCATTTGTGCGCGCACCCTGCAGCCATACCCACACACGGACACGCGTGGATGTATATTAGTGCAGACACACTTATGCATAAAGATATAGGTGCATAAGTGAGTATATGTGCACACATATGTATGTATATTTGTGTACACACACACTTATGCACAAGCAGGTATGTGTGCATAGGTATGCATATGCGTGTGCACATACGTAAGTATATTTGTATACATACACTTATGTACAAATATATATGTGTGCATAGGTGTGTGCGCACATCTGTAGGTATATGTGTGTACACAGTGCACACACATTTGTGCACATGTGTGTATATGTGTGTGCGCACACGTAGGTATATTTGTGTACACAGCACACACACATATATGTGTGCATACGCATGTATATGTGTGTGTACATATGTAGGTATATTTGTGTACACACACTTGTTCACAAATATGTGAGCGCATAAATGTGTATATGCGTGTGTCCATATACTTGCACACATCCATAGTGCACATCCTGTGATTCCTGCTGTGTGTACGCAGCAGTGTGTGTGACAGGGGTCTGTTGTCAGTGCTAAGAGTGCATTCGTGTGCGAGGGAGTCGAAGCCGGTAAATTGGGGTGCCCAGATTTGCGTGCAGACGTGTGACCCGTGTGTTGGTGCATGCGTGTGCACGACCCGAGGACAAATCAGTGTGAGTGAGTGAGTGAGTGAGTGACCTCGTGGCTGTGTCCATTCCTGAGCTGGCCTGCGCCCCTTTGGCCCCCACGCATACCTGCGCGTATATCCCGAGTTACGTTGCCTCTGTGTGTGCGCGCCTGTGTTTTGTCAGCGCGTGTTTGTGGGCAAGTTTGCAAGTCTTGCCTGTGTCTGTCTGAGGTTGTGCAGGTGGCTACTTGTGTGCCCCTCTGCCTGCCACCCCCCCCCCCTTGCTCTGCTCAGCCACCAACGTGTGTTCAGCGCGTGTTAGTCTGTGCGTGTGTCCTTGGTGCACTCCCGTGGGGGGGGGGGAGGCTGGTGCGGGCTGTTTTGTGTCTCTCTCGCTCCTGCCTCGAATCTGTGCCTTCCACTTTGATGCGCTCCTATTTTGCTGCGGGGATCGTGCTCCTCTGGCGTGGCTGTGCCCCGAGCTCGTGTGCTCAGCTGCTCCGTGTGTGCGCCTTTTGCTAGGGAGTCCGCTTGTTGCTCTTGGGGGGGTCCCCCTCTGCCACCCCCCGCAATGATTTCTGCTCCCAACTTTTCCCGGCAGAGGCTGTTGGA